ACGGTAGGGATGGGGGTAGCGGGGACCAGAGGGAGGGGAAGGGGTGGCAGAGGAAGGGACGAAGGGGAGTGGAATAAGGGGGTAGGGTACAGCTTGGTCAGTAGGAGGGCAAAGGGGCGCCGAGATATAAATACTGCACGCCTGATAACAAATATTGGACGTCTATATATAGCTCTCATTAGAACTCGAGCGATGAGTTCCGTGTCTCTTCGCTCTTTCCGACCCCTTAGTTCCATCCCCTCTTCGATCCCCCCCCCCTCCTCTGCCTGCCCCCTCTCCAACCCTTCTCATGTCCGCTCTCTTCGCCCTTACTTTGCCTTTTCGCTCGGTTTCTCTGCTCTCCTCTTTTCTCTCTCTTGCTCTGCCTTTTTTTCGCTCGTCTTAGCCTCATCCTTTTTCTTTAATCTCATCTCTTAGTGCTTCTCTCTTTTCACTTCCCTACCCTTCTTTCTCCAAACCTTTTCTAATCCCCTCTTTATTTCTCTCTCTCTCTCTCCCACTTCCTCTCCCTCCCCTTCTCACTCCCACTCCCATCTCTCGCCCCGTCCCTCTTCCCTCTCTCCCTTCTTCCCTTTCTCTTCCATTCTCCCTTCCTCCTGCCTTCCCACCCTCCTTTCTCCCTTCATCCCTTTCCTCCCTTCATCCATCCTCTTCCCCCCTCCCCCTCTTTCTCCCTCCCTCCCTCCCTCCACCTACCCCCACCCTTGGCGGACAGCCCCGCGCTCTCCACGTCAGCCAAACTTCCCTGAATGACCCGAACTATTTAAACGGGCGAATGATGTAAAAATTCCCTTGGCAAAGATTCTGTTGCTGGCCTGGACGCTGCGGGTAGGCTGGCAGGCAGACGAAAGGGAAGGGGGGGAGGAGGTTTGAAAAAGGAATAGGGGGGGAGAAGGGAAAGGAGAAGAGGGGGGATGGGAAGGGAGAAAAAAGTGATGGGAGGAGGTAGGAAAGGAGGGAGGAAGAAGGGAAAGTGGAAGAGGGGTAGAGAAGGGGAAAGGGAGAAGGGAGGGGATGGGAAGGGGGGGAAGGCAGACACAGTGGGGGAGGGGAGGGGGGAAGGCAGATACAGTGGGGGAGGGGAGGGGGGAAGGCAGACACAGTGGGGGAGGGGAGGGGGGAATCAGACACACCTGATATTCGGACGGCTCATCAAAGGTGATTTGGCAAGGTGATTGGCAAGTAAACAGGCATAGAGGCAAATAGGACAGGCAGATAGATCGGCAGACATACAGGCAAGTAGGCAAAGCAAATAAAACGATGATAAAAAGATTATCAGACGCAAGCAAGCAGAATGAGTCACGGGACGAAGAATATAGATGCATGCGTAGGAAGAAGAAGCAAAGGAGGAGGAACAGGTGGAAGAAGAGGAAGAAAACGGAAGGAGAATAGGACGATGACCAATAGGAGAATGAGGAGGAAGGGAAAGATAAGGAAAGGGAAGAAGGGAGGAGGAGAAAACTACGATGGTAGGGATAAAGGAGAAAAAAAAGGAATGGAGAGAGAAAGGGTGAAGATTAAGAGAAGTAGAGGAGGAGGAGGAGGAGGAGGAGGAGGAGGGGGCATGCGCAGGGTGTCAGGAGGACAAGGCAACGCTTGCCCCGCCGCAGAGGTCGTTGGTGCCACGGCTGGCCACGGACACACCTCCCAGGAATGTGTGTATATTAGAGGACCTTTTTTTCCGCGTTTATTTTTAGATTTGTTTTCGTCTTTATGGGATGGAAGGAGCTTGCTGGTGGCGCCGTCTCCTCCTCTTCTTCCTTCTCTTCCGCCTTTTCTTCCTTTTCCCCCCTTTTCTTCTTCTTCTTCTTCTTCTTTTCCTTCTCCCTCCTTTTTCTCCTCGTCCTCCTCTTCATTTTTCATCAGCTTGTTCTTACTTTCCGTATTCCTCTCCGCCTCTCTCTCTCTCTCTCTCTCTCTCTCTCTCTCTCTCTCTCTCTCTCTCTCTCTCTCTCTCTCTCTCTCTCTCTCTCTCTCTCTCTCCCCCCTCTCCCTCTCTCTCTCTCCCCCCCTCTCCCTCTCCCTCCCCCTCCCCCCTCCCCCTCTCCCTCCACCTCTCTCCCTCTCTCCCTCCTTCCACTTTCCTTCCCATTTCCCTCCCTTCTTTTATCCCATCCTATCCTATCTTATCCCATCTTCTCGTCTCGTCTTGTCTATTTCTATCTCCTCTCTCTCACCTCTCACCTCCCCCCCCCCCTTGTGTGAATAACCAGGGCTAATGATTGCGTCATACAACTATTTTTAGGGATGAATCGTGATGTGGCCACTGGGCATGCAAATGGGGGTGGGGGGTATATGTGTGGCCCGGTGTTATGCTGGCTGGGACGTTATGCCAAGGCCGAGTTGACGCGCCTGGTGGCCACCTGTGTGTGTGTGTGTGTGCGTGTGTGTGTGTGTGTGTGTGTGTGTGTGTGTGTGTGTGTGTGTGTGTGTGTGTGTGTGTGTGTGTGTGTGTGTGTGTGATATATATATATATATATATATATATATATATATATAT